TAATTAAGTCCTTATATAATTCGGCACAAACTCACACAATAATGACTATGGATTCCAGCGTAAGTGGTCACATTTAGCTAATCTGCTGTACTTCTTGCACCAAGTAGCTGCAGGATATATGGGAAGCAGGGAGTGGAATATACTTCCAAGTACAGCCTTTTCAAAGCATAATGGGGGAAAAATTGTAACTAAAGAAAATCTTATTGATCTATTGTTATGCCCCTCTAATCTCCAGTGCTGTATATTCACACGCATGATATCTCTCTGAGCTAGGGAAGTGCTATTACCCCACATCTACAGATGGTGAATTGAGGCTTATAGAAATGATTTGCCCACAGTACCATGGGGAGCATGGCAGAGCCACTCAGAAGCTTTTCATTGAAATATTTCCCCCCGCCCCCAATTTAAAATGGTTTTAATGTACGAAAAGTGCATGTGGATTTTGGTCAGGATTCTGAGAGGGCTTTGAAATTAATACTAAAAAAAGTCAGAAGACAAGATTGGAATTTCACTTCTGAGTTTTGAAATAGTTTTTTCTATTTTATTTTGTTTTGTTTTGTACTTTTACATTAGCTCATGACATGCAGCATAAGGAGCTCATGCACAGCATCCCAGTACACCAGCTAAAATACTCCAATTAGTTTCCTTTTCAAAATCATTATGGGCAGCTACTGTTCCTGACTAATTGAAACATCTTTTTCTGTCTTGTTACCTGTTGTCGTGGCACTGTTTGTCTCTGTGAGAAACTCCATAAAAAATGTTTGAGAACCCCTGGTACAGTCATCAAAGAAATGCTTGGCTTGTTTGAAGGTTGGGAAATCATAAGATTGGAGAATCAATAGTTTGGAAAGGACTTCAAAGGTCCTCTTGTCCAACCCCCTGAGGACCTTTGAAAGCCTCTGGTGAAGGGGAATTCTACATCTTCCATGGGCAATGCCTATTGCACTGCCTCACTTTTAACAACAAGGAAGCTTTTCCTGAGATAACATCTAAATCTGCTTTGCTGAAAGATAAAAGCACTGCTTCATGTCCTGCCCTCTAAGCCAGCCTTTTCTTTATAGCAGTCTTTCAGATATTTGAAAACTACTATCATATCTCTCCTTCATCTTTTTTTTTTTCCTCCAAGCTAATCGCACCTTGCTCTCTGTCTTTCCTGGTATAGTTTGCCTTCCTATTCCTTTATCACTTTTGGACCCTCTCAATCTTCTCCACACCCTCCTTAAAATGTGTAGTCCAGAACTGAAAACACAGTACTCCTGATAAGGCATAGCCAACAATGAATAAAGTAGTAGTATCATCTCCAGACAAGGCTCTTTGGATGAATCTGATATTTTTTATTAGACCAACTTAAATAGTTGGGGGGAAAAAAAAACAACGTAGCAATTTAAAAACCCTTTGCCAGGCTGAGGAAGTCTGTGTGGTTGGTGTGTGATCTTCCTGGATGGAATGAATAGTAAAGAAACCTAAAATTGCTAAAAGAAAAAAAAAGAAAAAGAAAAAAAGAGTCAACTATTTAAGTTGGTCTAATAAAAGATATCAGATTCACCCAAAGAACCTTGTCTGCCTGTGTCCTTAGACCAACACAGCTACACTCTACACCCACTATCTTATCTAGTGTCTTACACCAAATACTCCTGTTGATACAGCCCAAAATTGCAGTTGCTTCTTTTTGTGACTCTCACATTGCTGATGACTCATGTCCACCAAAATCCCTAGAACTTCTCAGTAATCCTACTGCGCAGCCTGTTCTGCCCCATTCTGTATTTGGTTATTCTTCTCTAGGTCAGGGCTCCTCAATCTTTCTGGACTCAAGGCACCCCTTGGAAAATAGCTTTCACTCATGTCTCGATTTTGGAAAAATAATGGAGCAATTCTTCAGCTGCAAAGAACTCAAAAAGGCCCAACAGTTTTGAATGCTTTTTATACTATGGATTCCTATTTGAAATTTCTGGGTTCATCTTGTGAATCATGTGCAGGTATTTGCAGACCTAACAGTGCTACTCTTGTGTAGCACCTTAGGACACCCTTAGAAGATGTCATGGCACCCCTGGGCACCTAGTAGGGTATAACTTGACCAATAAACTCTCTAGATTCTGCTGCCATAGGCAACTCATTGCTACAAGTGACAGCAACGCATTTCCAGTAGAGGTGGTCTACGTAACGTTGCCAATCTGGCAAGTAGTGTGTGTAGCTACCATATGAAGAGGGCTGCCGTGAATTCATGTTTTGGCCTCCAGTAGGGTTAGAAAATTAATTGCAATGACAAAACCAACATTGTGTGAACTGCAGAGATCAGTCATAACATTTTTGTCGCTGTAGCCATTTTGGATACCAAGATAGCTGACACATGAGCATGTACATATCTAGTCGATATAAATATAAACACCTAGTAAGCAATACTTAGTACTAAAACCTCACAAATTTTATCACTACAATTTTCATAGCAGGCCTACAATGCTGAAAACATAACTCAGGCTAGCCTACTTGTTCAAGTTGCACTGAATAAGATGATGCCTTTTTTTTTTTTTTTTTAATTTCAGAATGTGGCAAAGTCGCATATTCATAATGCGTAACTCAATGGCAATGATATCCACAGACATATGTTTGGCTTGAGGCAACAGGAAAATGTAATCGTCTAGTCCAATGGTAATATAATGGTAATACAGTGGCATATATAAAACATTAATACAATGAGTAATTGCAGCTTTTCAAATTTCTTCATCACTTGAATCCATTTTCTGAATCCCTGTAGATATTATGTGGATTGTAAAATGCCATCCCATAGCACTTGGAGCCAGGAATGCAGAGGGCATTTACCTGCGTGCTGGTCCCCACATTTCGTCTTACAGTTGCAATTTGTCACCCAAAGCTGTTCTGTGGGTAAGGCTTCAAGCACGTTTATGATAGGAACGTAAGTGTCATGTTGGCGGAAGTTTATCCAGAGCTTTTCCTTAATGGAGTAATTTCACCCTACCATCCAGAAAGGTCATCAGAGATGTTGATGGCGAATACAGCAACACAACATACTTTTCTACACAACTGTATAAATCCTTATTGTCATCAGGCCTACTTTGTAAACCAGCCAATAGATGTGAATGCTGAATGAACACTTTCCAAGCCATTTTCTTTGACACTGTGGAATCCAATTAGAGATGCAGGCATTGGCTCAAGCAATTTTAACACAATATCATGACCTGGTATTAATTTTACTGGGTTGCTTGTCTTCATCCAAACCTTAGGTGCAAGATTATGCCATAGAAGAATGACCGGCGTGGCTGTGCTGTCACAGGAGAATACTAGAAAGGAGCATCCCTGAATGACTGCATGTCTGCTGTGTAAAAGCACTCTGGTGTCTGCCTCTTCTTGCTGCAAATGCAGTTGTGAAACGACACGTGCTCCGCTTTGCCATCGTTGGAACCAACAATGAGCACTCATTCACTTCGGAAACATCGGTGTCATTTCTTAAGAAGCTCCTCACTTAGAAAATTAACTAGGTTTTCTTTGTTTGCTGGTAAGGATATGAAACTACTCCATGATCCTAGTATCAGAAGAGGTGCTAAGATTTCTGCATATCGGCCTAGTAGTTTGAGTCCTTAATGTCCTTGTGCCTGCCTATATGGGAGGTGGTATGGATCAATCGAAGACAATGTTGACTCGATCACATGCGTTGCAATAGTTGGCAAATGCTCGTTGCGTGAAGGAATCAGCCGAGTCTTCAAACGTTTGTGCAATGTTTGGCTTTCCTATTCCTTGTACAAGAGTCATGCTGTTGATAATATCACCTGATTTCTCAGAAGTAGCACATGGAAGAACAGTTAGTGCTTTATCTCCAGTCAAGATCTGGGACAAGGCTGCTTTGCGAGCCACATTGATCAATTTGTCAGGTTTAAAAAGTGATGGAGGTTATCCAGCCAGTTTGTGCAATAGGGGAGAGTGCACGTCGAACCTCCTAGCTGCTGCAAATGCTGTGAGAAGCCTTCGCTGGATCTCCTTTGCATTCTGTGACTGTTTCATTTTGCTGTGCTGTCCCATAGCTGACTTCACATCTTTGATGGTTTTCAATTTTGATTCGGGTGTTTCTATAGAAGCTCTCAGTAGGATCTGCACTAAGATATTTGTGAAGACTGGTGTTCAGAAACTTGTCTGCCTTTGTCATGTGCATCCAGAATGTCTAATGTAATATCTCCCAGCACAACATCTTCTGTAAGAATAGATAACAGCTCATTGTTGGAAATCTTAAACAAGTGGAACCTTTCAAACCACTCTGACATCATTGTAACCTCATTTCAGTCATGTCCTTTGTCTTTTGTTATGATTGAAATATGTTGTATTGATCCCAAACTTTGATTTGCCGTCTCAGTTAAGTGACCTCTTTCATTGTAGTTCAGCTCCCGTTCTTGTCTGGCTGACTTGTTGTGTGTTATATTTACTATGCCATCAGCAATATTGCAAGCCTTATTAATGTACTCTATTGCTTCAGTTGAAATGATTGCAAATGGAAGTTTAGTTGTCTTGATGCCAAATCCTCCATCCACAAACTCAGCATCCATCGTAGGAGTAAAATTCAATAAATCCTTCATGCATTCAAAATATGCTGGACCTCATTTTGTGTAGTTGGTATGATCATGCACAGCTGTCAGTGGAAGCATTTCTTCATAATTGGGTCATGGCTGGGCTGCGATGGCTGAGAGGTTAAGGCGTTGGACTTGAAATTCAGTGGGTTACCCCTCGCAGGTTCAAACCTGCTCACAGCATTTGTCTTTTGATCAGAGCCTTAAAAGGCAAGCCATACGCGGAAAGGCTGAGGGATGTGGGACTCTTCAGCCTCAAGAAAAGGCTGAGAGGGAACCTGGTATCAGCTTACTGC